AGGTTTCTCATTATAGTCAAATGTTCCTATATCATACAGTACTGTTTAATACTCTGGAGTTTGTTTTTCCCTCCAAAGAATAGATTATAATGATCTCTCCAAATTAATTGATACAGTTCACTTTTTCCATGACTGTATAATAATTCACGGTATGCAAGTACCTATTCTCTTTATTAAACAAAACTCACTTGGTTCCTAGTTTTTTTTTCTACTAAATTACAATAAATATCCTTGTATGGACCCTTCAAAATGGTACTTTAATTTCTAGGAATTAGAGTCCAGCAGTAAAACTGCTGGGCTGAACATATCATGCATTCATTCATTCATTCATTCATTCATTCATTCATTCATTTTTAAGACCCGGTCTTGCTATATAGTTCAGACTGACCTTTAACTATGCAGCCCAGGCTGGCCTCACACTCGCAGTAATCCTCCTGCCTCCACATCTTAAGTGCTAAGATTACAGGCATGTGCCAGCATGACAGACACATCTTTTATTTTAGTTGCTACTGTCAATTGCTTTCCAAAGGTCTACTCTGACGGCAATGCAGATAACCACCTTCTTCATCGCTGAGCCACACAGGTGTGATCGTTCTCTTAATGACTGCCAATCTGGTTGGTGAGAGAGAATTTCACTACTACTTTAATTTACATTTCACCAACTACAAGTGAAGCTGTATATCCTTTTTACTAATCAGTACTTGGATTTGCTCTGCGATGCATTAGTTGTCCATATACTCCCTTCTAGTTTTTCTGCTGTTGTATGTCTCCTCTTTATCACATAGAAGTATATATGGTACTCTCTAATCATTCCTTTCTTCTAATATGCTACTATGTCTCCTTTTCAGTATTAGTCCTATATTTTTTTGGTTTGTTTTGCTTCCTCTATTTTTTAAAAAATAGTTATTAGGTTCTTTTTTTATGATCTTTCCAGAGAATTATGTTTCTTTTAGTTAATTTTGTGTTTTCCTAAGAAAGTCTTTAGCTCTGTTAGTTTTTTTTTTTTATTGCAAGCTGATTCACACATAATATTTACACTTTAAAGTATGCAATAGTGGTTTTTAGTATAATCACAGAGTTGTACAACCACTACTCTCCTCAAGTCATTATTTCTCTTCTTTAAGAATGAGCAAGGGCTGGTGAGATGGCTCAGTGGTCTAAAGCACGTACTTGGAACAAGCTTATCAAAGCACAGGGACTGCGGTTCAATCCCCCAGCACCACATGCCAGCCAGCCCCGCCCCCTGGTGGGCTGAGCTGGCCACACACACACACACAAA